ATACTCCTGAATCATTATGGGATTGTCCAAGGAAGAAGTTGACAAAAGTAAAGAATCATATTGTAATGCCCCAACACATTCCATTGCCTAAAAAAGAAGACAACGTTGTCTGTCAAATATGTGATATTTCTGGACATTTAGCTACTATATGCCCACACTAATATGTAGTAACTTGTCAACTGTGTAATCATGAGGGTCAAACTGCAAAAATTTGCCCAAATCATTACCTTCCATATGAAGTCATGTCAAACTCATCTAAAACAGCTGCTAAGTCCTCTGAAACTATTACAAAGATATTAGATAATAGTCGTTTGCATCTTAAATTTACCAAAAAGTCTTGGGATGAGGCACGTGAGAAACTACGTTCTATTCAAGAACCATAGTATATTTACCTTATCTATATTCTGCAACATATTTCCTAATTTCTGTTATCCATATATGAGATTAAGGCATAGTATTTTAATTAGTATTCTATGTAATAACATTTTAATTATAATATTACGTTATCCTTTATATTTATGTGTTTCAATTACATATTTTAATATATGTTTAGAATACAGAGCTAATTATATTATATTAATTATAAATTTTATCTAAAAGAGCTTGAAAGAAATTAAGTAAAAAAAGAGGAACTAACATCAAAAAGCAAGAACTATAGGATTAAGTAGAAGCCTTACCAAACTACTTCGGTCAAAACACATGACAACCCGGTTAGCTGTTCAAGAAAAACAGAATGTGCAAGAAATCTGCAAAGATGGCTTTGCGTTTTGCAGCCGGCTCTACGAAAAAAACTGCATGTGCAAAATCTCGTAAAGCCGGCTACAGAAATCGTAAGTCGGCTCTACAAAGTCGGCTTTGACAACTTAAGCCGGCTGTCCTCAAAACCCTCCAATTCGAAAAATAAAAGAGAGTATTTCGGTCATACTTATTGGCCGAAATAATCCCACCAAATCCCCCCCGTAGTTGGCCTAAGAACCATACGTTTCTGCACATTATTTCGGTCACAATAATTGATCAAAAAATCCATCACACTATCCCATGCACGACAACAAGGTGGGAGTAAAATAGTATTATTTCGGTCAATAATAATGATCGAAATAAGGTCAACAAACGCAAGTCCCAACTTGACCACTGTAAGAAAATTTTGGAGAAATTTTGAATTTCCCTCATTATTCAATTCGGTCATAATATTTGACTGAAATAATCTCATATTCCCGCTACGTCGTGGGTTTGAAATTTTCGCTTTTTATTTCGGTCAGTATGATTGACCGAAATAGTGCTTAAGTGTTTCTATATATAGAGGCTCACTCTTTTCTTTCATTTATTCTTCTTCTCTTCTTCGGTTCTTTCTTCTCTTCCACAAAAATTTTATGAATAAATTGTTAATCTTTTATTTCTCTTAATTTTAATTAATTATTTTTCAATTTTCATTAAATTTGTATTTCTTCATCTTAGTACCTCTCTTTATTTTTTTATTTGAAGTTTAATTTAAGTTCTTTAATTTTTTTTATGCGAAATTAATAGTAGTAACTCCTTTTTGTTTAACATATTTCTTTTCCCTCCAATTTCTTTGATTATATAAATATTGTAAATATTTCATAACATTTTATCAACTTTTATGTATATATCTTTAATGTTTATACTAATAATTTCATTTTTTCTTTGAAAAGGGTACCTAATTTAGTGAAAAATGGGGTAGCATTATGGAGGTAATTATCTTTATTACCATAATTAATATACATATTGTTTTAATTTACTCATAAACATATTTTTTCATTTATTTTGGATTTATTTCGCATGCTTTTAGTTAATAT